GGCAATTAGATGAGCGTCTTTGGTTTCTTGGGTTTGACTATGGTGGTAATGAATTAGCTAAGTATAGCGAAGATTTGCCAATGAGGATTTTATGGATGAACAGGCCCAAATGGAGATGTCTTCTTGCATCAAGTGATGTGATACTGGCTTTTAAGTAGAGGTCACAATGGTGGGTCCTGTATGGTACATCCAGTGCAAATCGAAGAGGAAAATTATAAAGCGGATTTAGTCTGTTTAGTGTTTCATTAGCAGCTAAACTGTAAGCAGCATCACAGTAGCCAAAAGGTTGTAGAATGATAGCTTCACCAATTTGCATGCACAATTGAATGGGAACAAATGTCTTTCTGTAAAAATCTATATCCCTTTATTTTTTTGGAGATGTAATCAATATGGGGTTGGAATGTAAGTTTTGAATCAATCAGTAAACCAAAGTATTCGAAGCACTCCGTTTGTTCAATTATGTTGTTTCTCATATCCGCAATAGGCGAAGGGAATGAAACTGGATTTTTGGTTAAAGAAAAGAGCATGACATTCGTGTTTTGGGGATTTAGGAGCAATTTTTGTATAGAGAATTGATATTGAATTAAGTAGAAATCATGTTGGAGATTCTGCTTGACTTCGCTTGGAGAGTTATCCGATATTAGCATGACATTGTCATCAGCAAATAGATTAAATTCGGAGTGATTTAAGTTGAGTCCAATATTGGTTAAATATGAGAACAGGATTAGACCCGGCACGGAACTTTGTGGAACACCCTCTGTTATTTTAATATTTGTGGAGGAGATGCTATCACTCTGCACCTTTTGAGAACAGTCATCGGAGAGGTCTTTTTTAAACCAGTTTATTGCACCGTCCGAAAATGTTAGATGGCCAAGTCTTGTGAGTAGAATATCATGGTCAGCAGTATCAAAGGCTTTTGACAAGTCGAGGAATAGTGCATAGCAGTAGTGGCCTTTATCCAGGTTACTGAAGAGAACATTTCATATATCCATCATTGCTCTGGTGGTGCAGTAATCTATATATATAAAATCGTGAATCTGTCTGTCTGTCTGTCTGTGTGTGTGTGTGTGTGTCGCCGGACCATACGCACTTTCATTGGACGAAATGTCAGGGATTTGCGACACACCATTGGTCCGGCGGTTGCCCCTGTATTGCGACACACGATTGGTCCGGCGGTTGCCCCTGGCAACAGGCTAGCGACGCATTCGCCATTTTTAATTCCCATTAAAAATAGGCGCACGCATTAACACGCGACTCTGACGTTAATTCATCACAGTTTCACGTCCTCTTCAGTCCCCTCCCACCCGAATGTGTTCTATTACTGTTATAGGCTCCGTTGATAATTAAATAATAGCGATTCGACTCTATTATTGTAGCGCGGGGGGGGGGGGGAACGCCACCCGTACCCTGCCTCTGCCGGGTGGGAAATTTAGGCGAGGCCGGAGGCTCTGCACGCTACTAGGCCTCGACACCCACCACGCTACTCTGAGGTAAATTAATCAAAGTTTCACGTACTCTTCACTCCCCCCCCAACACAATGTGTGCAATTTTTATTACTTTCAAACCCTATGCGCCAATAATCTATTCTTTAAATGGTGACTGTACAAATACTCATTAAGCTGGGTGAGCGTACTGACAGTCTATAATGTATACTGTTGCCTGCTTATTAAATTGCCTGAGTCTACTGGCAGTCTATTATGTAGACTGTTGCCTGCTTATTCAGCTGGGTGGGTGTACTGGCAGTCTATAATGTAGACTCTAGCCTGCTTATTATAATCGATTCTTTAAATGTTCTTTGTACAAATAGTCATTAAGCTGGTTGAGCGACCCCAGTTCGATTCCCACTCACGCCCAGCACCGCTGACGATTATTTGAACCGGACCTGGGCCTCCCCTAGGTAGACTCAGCCTCAAACGCGTAACTGCTGTCGTGTGTGAACATCGTCACTGGGGAGACAAAGGCGGCCGGGCATCGTCGATCCAAGACCCGGGCGAAGCCGGGTAGTCAATCTAGTCCTCTTTAAAACAAACTGTTTACAGTGCTGGAGATTGTGACTTTTGAGGTAGCAGTATATTTGTGATTTAAGCATTTTTTTAAATATTTGAGTAACTGGTTAAAGAATAGCGATTGGTCTAAAATTATTAGGGCCTTCTTTGGAGCCATTTTTATATAGTGGACAAACAAGAGGGGATTTCCACAATTGTGGAAATGTACCAGCACGGGCATAATATGACTTTGAAACCCCCCGCACACCTCCTACGCATTTCACAAGTAGTACTAATCACATACCTGCATTCCCCATAAATATGCTAAATTCCTCTTGATATGCAGATTCTTTTGTCAAGGCGCCCTTCCCCCCTTCCAACCCAGCTTAAAAATACGCTCCAAGCGTGGTGGTGTTTCATTCAGACGCTGTCTCCCCGACAGACCTGGTCTTCACCTGAGGACGGCTGCTTGCGTTGTGGCCGAAACGTCGTGAGAATTATTTTTATTATGTTTTATTTTTATTATTTTATTACTTCCCTTCTACGTGACTTTACCGAAAGAACCAAGAAGAGAAAAAAAATGTACCAGCAGTTAGTGAGAGGTCATAGATGAGATCTGCCACAGCCACAAGTGCCAATGCAGGTTACTCATCTTCTCCCGTGGATGATGATGTCTTAATTTAAACTATTTTAGCAGTACTGTACTGTACATCCAGTTCAGATATGGGAATACATAACAAGTAGTGACATTGACTTTCACAAACATTGTTAGGGTTATTGTGTGAAGGGGAAGAAGTGAGTGTTGTGAATGGTGGTGTATTTGGAGAAAATTTACTCTGGTCTGTTTTGTCAAATAAACGTTTAGCTGATCCAAAATGATCATTAAATCCACTTATAACGTCTTGTTTTGTGAGCAGTTATTTTTAGAATCAGAATATATTGAATGTTTTTTTGTATAACATTTTGCCTTGTTCACAATGTTTATCAGAAGAGTCTTTGGTTTTGTTGTGACTTTAGAATACTTTTATGATAGCATGATAATTTAGCATTTCTTACTAGGCGAGTACATCTGTTGCTTAGTGTTTTATAGGTAATCCAATTAGGAAGGTTGTTTGATGTTTTTGTATTATTCCAGGCTATATCTCTCGTTTTCATTAACTCAGAAATGTTCAGATCAAACCGTGGTGCATGATCACCATTTTTTATGAACTTAAGGGGGCATGTTTTGTCAATTATTTTTAAGAATTGGTCTTTGAAATGTCCAAACAGCTCCAAAAACTGGGATTTTGCTCACCGTATCCCAGTCAAAACGGAGAGTGGCATGTATAAATGCATGAAAGCCAACATTATGAAATGACAGTTTTTTCATCATGATTTTATGAGGTGTTTTAGTTCTTTCGTGTATGATGAATACCAAAGATAATAACATAGTAACTGAGATAGTAACTTAAGACTCCCACTTTTGAACATTTACTAGGTTAATTCGTTCATAAAATATCTAGTATGGAAGAGCGATATGAGTTTTTTTTCATATATATTGGGTCTAGTGGTTGAAGTAGCCAGTTGATTTAGATTGTACTGGCTTGTAAAGTTTAATAAGTCAATAGCCTCCCACGTTAACAATACAACACGTAGTTGAAAAAAATTAAAATAACTAAATTAACTCACGACGTTTCGGAGGAAACACAAGCTTCCATCATCAGGTGAGTCAACCACAGCAAAAAAACAGTAATTCTGTTTTTTTGTAATTCAGTTTTTTTGCTGATGACGGAAGCTTGTGTTGTCTCCGAAACGTCGTGATTTAATTTAGTTATTTTTTTCACCTACGTGACTTTACCGATAGAACCAAAGAGTATGGATCTCAGGTTATGTTTTCACCGAGTTTACAATGTATGTGGACCACGCGGAAGTCACTGTCCTGCAACTACCGTATCTTAGCTATGGCACTGATTGTACAGTTGGTGTATGTCTGGAACTCCCGTGTGATAATATGTAACATTATCTCAGTCACGTCCTACTCAATGATGAATTTAGGCCTTCCTAAATTGTGCTTACAAATTCCGAGCGAGAGTCCTTCTACGGCCCAGTCACTCGCTCATGAGAGCGATTCGTTCGGTGTGATACGGACACGAAATGCCGAGACTTTTTGATGCATTGCCAAGTCGTGGTACAAATTCAGGGCTATCATGCAGAAAAAAATCTAACTCATCTCCGATGGCAAGAGGACCGATTATAAATCGATTTGATGCATATCTATTGATGTATTAATAATAATAAAAAATCATCAGTGCACAACTCTAGCAATAAAAATGTGATTAAAGTCTATGCATCGTCCCCCTAATGTATACAAACAACACACATATTTCACACATATTTTCCCAACATTAAAACCTCTTGAAAAAAAGTTTTCCATGGAAACACCTTGGCCATCCTTATAAAAATCTATTTGCAGATACAGCAGTCATAGCAAACTCAATCGCACAAGCTCAGCATCATGTGACCGCAAGAAATATCTCACTTAACAACACTGATTACAAAGAGTACAACCTTCATGCATTTCATCCGAGAAAAACACTGTCAGTAAATTCTAATTCTTGTATACTTATGAGATGCGCAATTATAATCGAAAGCAGCCTATTTTAGAGGCTGCTATTTTATAGGCTGCATTGAGTATGTTTAAAAACTATTTAATCTCACTGTTCACACAAACATTGCTGTTTCATATGGAGTAAACTCTTCTATGTATCAGCTTTTGCAGACTCTATCAGTTGCCACGTATTAATTCAAAAAGTTAAGTTAGCAATGCCATTGTACCATGAAACAAACTATTAGTATGTCAATAGGCAACAACATTTCTGGGCAAAAAAAAAGAATGCAATGAAATTGATCAATTTTTTAAAGTTTGAATACAACACGTGAGTCGCAGAAAGGAAATTATCACCAAGCGTAAAATCAATGCAAGGGGTAGATCAACATCGATCACGCCACTAAAAGCTGGACACCGCGTTCACTCACCGAAATCCCCTCCTCGCTGAAGTCGATGGCATCCAAGTCCAAATACTCCGGGCTGTCCATGGTGCCGATACAAACATGCTGCTTCCTAAGTGCCGTTTGAGTCGTTTCACCACCGCGACTCCGTGCCGCTGGGCGCCACACAGAGGCGAGCTTGGCCCGTCACTCTCCTCCTCGTCGCTCCCTCGTGCGTTGTCGCGTGTCCCGCACACTCATCTGCAAGCCATAACGCGCCTCCCATTCATCACAAAGACACAGACAAAGATCCCCCGTATAGCCTTAACAGACCGTTGGGGCAAGTGCTATTTCGGAGCGCCTATGGAGACAGGCACGGCACACGAGCGGGTTGGATGGGTAACAGCCCGCCCAGCCGCCTTTGTCTCCCCAGTGGCGATGTTTACACACCGCACCAGGCACTCATTTGAGGCTGAGTCTACTGAGGGGGAGGCCCAGGACCGCATCAGATAAATCGTCACTGGTGTTGACCCTGAGTAGGGTTCGAACTTGTGTCGCCGGGTTCGTAGAGCAGTGCGCTCACCGCTTCACTATCGCGTGCCCAGCACACTCATCTGCAAGCCATGATGCACCTCCCATTCACCACAAAAGACGGGCACACATGCACACACAAGCAGCATACACACACGCACACTCACACAAAGGCAGTACACACTCACACACAATTGCACACACACACCACACAATACACATACAAAGAAATGTGCAAACGGATAAACACATTTTTTTCTTTTGCCTAGCACCTTTTTTCAAACTAAGATAAATGCAGTGCAGTTGGACATTACTGTGACGAGACACTCCAGCTTACTTGACCCTAGGCAGAGTTTGCTGGCAAAGTTATTTTGAACAAGCCATCCTCACGAGACAAGTGCGCGTCTCCACGATACTAGGGTCGCACGGAGGGCATTATTTGTCTCTTGACAAGAATATTCGTACTGCCAGCCCTTTTGCCTCCCGTAAACGGTTTACACAACAATTCATATTCTTAGGTTTTTTCGGTAAAGTCACGTAGGTAAAAAATTAAAATTAATGAAAATAAAATTAAAATAAAATAAAAAATCACGACGTTTCGAAGGCAACACAAGCTTCCGTCTTCAGGTGGAACCGTCACAGCACGCTTGCTGTATCAAGTAAATGAGAGATTCCAAGAGATACTACCCCGTATATATACTGGTTGAGGGGGGGGGGGCTAGGACAGGCCCCCTTTTTAATTATTATGGTAAGGTGACGGTTTCACCTGAAGACGGAAGCTTGCGTTGCCTCCGAAACGTCATGATTTTTATTTTATTTTACTTTCATTAATTAAAAAAAAATTACCTACGTAACTTTACCGAAAAAAAACTAAGAATATGAATCCTTGCAGTCACGAAAGCTTCAAATCTAGAATTACACAACAATGCCATAATATGTCTGCCACATCCCGGCAATCTAAAGTGCTCTCCATGGGGCAAGCCATTGCGAAATGTTAAATGAATGCATCGGTTTTGCGGAGAAACACATAATCAATGAGATGGATCAACAACTGGTGAATGAGGAGCTAAACCCAGGACGACAGACAAAGACGTACACACGCTGCATATGCACAAGTCGAAGGGCGATATAATAACGCCGAAACATTCTACTTACATGCAAGCCGACAATCGTCACAATGACTCCGGTGTGCATTATGAATAAAAGAGACGCACGTGCATTAACCTGAAACATGTAACGGGCCGATGCTTAAAACTATTTGGAACTTGCTCCTACTACTTATGTAAGACGTCACATGTGCTTTCACTAATGCCGGTATGTGTATAATGTATTTGTAAGTGAGCAAGACTTGATAGGCTCACCGCGGGATGGTGAAACGGGGTTCATGGGCAACCGAATCCACCATCGTGGTTCCAAAACCTGTTCGCCGGCTTGCGTAAGAGAGCTTATTGATGAGAACTCCACTCTACTTATACTTTCTTTTCACGAATAGCGCACACACAGTCGGTGCTTCAGGTAAGATGCAAAGTGCCGTAGCACCCAACATTTATTTGTCCTATAAACAGTCCTCCAACACTGATCCACATTGTTGTAATGTACTTCAACGTTCCCACATCTATGCACCCTCACCTTCACGAAGCTGCCACTGACCAGCGTGGATAGGAATGGTCAAATTACCCCCAAAAGCTGTGCGGTGTGAGGAGGCCAGCCTCCGTTAGTTCCAATACCCCTTTGCGAAGCTTGGGTAAGAGAGCGTATTTGAGAGAACGGCACTCTCCTTATACATTGCATTCATTGATCAGACGTACAGTAGGTGCTTGACATGTTCCAAAATGAAATGTCAAGTGCCACAGCACCCAACATTTTCTTGTCCAATAAACATAGTCCTCTACACCAATCAACATTAAAGCATCGTTTTTTCACCCTTCCAAGCCTCTATAACAAACGATGTTTAACGTTCAATGCGGAAATCCTCAGTAGAAACCCCTTATTGATTTGAGAAAAAAACCTTGAAACTATAACAATTCATCCTCCAGTAAATGTGATCAATTGTCACAATTCACGGTTGTGATATGATTCAATACGTAATTCTTGTCCAAATTGCAGCTCTGGGATTTAAAATATTCTGGCTTGAATGCCATTATACAAACACAAAACTCACCGCAGAGTGTGCGTGAAAGTATGCCCACTAGTGGGTAAGGAAATGCCACTTGAAGGCTTTTTCAAAAGAAGTTCTGTGAAAATACCTTTCACAACCATTCTCAGAAGCGTGGAGGACTTGCATTGATCTGTGGAATTTTTGAATGGAAGCTTTGTCTCCTGACATGATGCCAACAGCACACATCGTCAATAACATTTTGTGGGAAAAAGACCGAAATATATTTTAAGGATTTTAATTTAAAGGAAAATTTATTATTATTTTAAGATTGTGATGAACATTGTTACACCACGACAAAAAAACCCGAACAAAAGTCTGTCTTACAGTAGCATAGACTTGGAACTCTATCCCAGAAATATAGGAGATGTGGATCTAATTCAGTGAGGTTATTTTATTTATTTTACACATGCTGTTACCAGGACAATTGCATGGTTCATTCAGTGGTGTTCCAGGATTTAATAACATGTCAGTCCGTGTGGACTGATGAAGAAATACTGCATTAGGAACATAATATGGCAACTAGTGCCACACACTAAGTACATAATTTTCTGGAAAATGCCGTTATTTCACCACTTGACAGAAATGTATAATGTGGTGAAAAATGTAGCCACAATTCACACACTGATCCTTGGAGATACTGACACGTATAATGCCTCATCGCTGGCTGGGGCAGAGCCACATCCTGTCTCGTTTATGCGCTCGCAACAATTCCTAAAGTTCTGAAAATGAAGTTTCTAGGCAAAATAGAGGTCCATCCACGTTCCTGGTGGTTGGAATTAAGAACTACTGAGGTTGTTTAGAAAATAAATATGTAACAAACATTAAAATGGCATGCAGTACTTACAAAAGAAAGTAAATATTTGTGGAAATAGTTCAGCCATTTTTACCGAATGTGGAATGTATTTTTTTCTTAAAGGACTTAACCAAATAAAGATGAATAATGATGATAACCTGAAGCCAGGCTGTGCATGCATGCTGCTGAAGCAATGCTCTTTCTCGTTCTTCCACCTATTTTTTTTTAAAGGTGTATTATTTATTACCAAAAAAAATCTGCTGAAATCCCAAGATTAACATTTACTTTATGAGTATTTCCATAAAAAATAAAAATGTGGTGGTGTTTTGGTTGGAAGATCAATTTATAAAATCAAGCTTTACGTGCGGTTCAAGTCCTTCGTATGCACGGGCATTCGAGTGCAGTTAAGGGAAAGTTAGGAGGTGGGGGCTGGTGAAGGCGGCTGAGCTTGGCTGACGGGGGCTGGTGGTGAGCGTTGTGGCTCCTTTAATCGCTACCACATGCGCGCCGGCTCGCGCTCCCTCGTAACGCATGGCTCGCGGGCCGGCCACAGTCACCATGGCTGCTGAAATCTCACCCCGTTTTGGCTCCCCGAGTTTACTCGGAGCAGCGCTCGCTCTGCTGTCGTCCTCGGGGACATGTTAGCCATGGCGTGTGTGCCCCGGATGCATGGCTTGTTTGTCAGTTTGGCGAGAAGCTGAATTTACTTTGCGCCAGATTATGTCAACGGGCGTAGGGAGAGAGCCTGAGTTAAAAAAAAACAATCTGTAGTAGACAATACATTAATTGGTAAAATGATTAAGAGTGTACTATACAACAAAAAAACGTGAAAATTGTATTCTATGTTTGGAATCGCAATTTACTGCTCCAGTAGGGATACCTGCTTGATCACGTAAGCGTTCATTTCGCTGATTTATGGTTGGCATTCATGAAACAAAAGGCTGTCCAATAATTGTGTCATGCAAAATAAATTAGAGCGCTCGTGAAAATGCTACGCACTTGGGAGATATGTTTATAAGATGTCTGCACTTAGAAATGCAGCATTAAGAGTGGCGTTTTAATGCGTTATGTGCAGACAAAAGAATATATCAACAATTATATCTGCCCTTGCTTCGGATGAGACTGATAACCTGACAGCTGGCTGCCTAACGGTCTATTCCAAACAATAATGATGCTGACAGGTAGCAGACAACACTTTTTAAAAGTTATCATTCTTCATAATAAATTCATATGTACAAGGCACCAACAAACAATGGATCTCGTAGCGCCAAGCGCGTGTGTAGAGGAGGAAAATAAGTCATAAATTGACCGGGGAGCAAAAGACTAAAGAGACAAGATCAAAAACTGGAGAGTGAAGGTATTTTTTAAATAGGTGGGTTTTCAGTCGGATCTTCAAATACTATATTTGATTAAAAAGCCTCAAATCAAAACTCGATACTTTATTTACCATGAACGAAAAGCTATTCTCAACTACTTCTACTAATAGTATTTATAATCAAATGTTTTTCAAACGTATCTCTTACCTGCACAAATTCAGTCAAAGCGTATTACTAAAATAAACACGAATTAATATGACTACAACGTGAACAAATTCCATTATAAACAATGGGCGAGCCATTAGTCTTGCACAAAATAACAACTGCGCTTTGTCCTATCAGAAAAATAAAATCGATCTCCACTACCGGAATGTGCAATTTCCACTACGAGCTTGGAGCTCTCAATGAAGATGCAAGGTACAGTTGAGGGGTAAAAGTGCAGCCCCGCAATTACTTGCCCAGGCCACTGCTTTTGGAAGGAGGGCATCCACACGAGGGAGCGCTGGAGAGTCCCTCGTAGAGGAGTGTTTCTTCATTGCAAGGCCCGCGGGCCACTCACAGCCCCTGGTGGCCTTTAGTGCGGCCCCCCGACAATACACGAACGTGAAACACCCCTTGCAGGCGGTGTGGCGACCCTCACACTGATGTCCTATCGGCGAAAGTGGCCCCTTCTGAAAATTGAAGAACAGTGCTCTAGAGAGTATACCGCTGTCCAGAAATCTGGGGGAGGAAGTGGGACGACCCACACTTCACCCCAGCACATGTGGCATGCTGATTCGCTAACTGTGGTGGTACCCATTGAAACTGCCGGGTGGACAGAGGTGGCGGTGGAGGATGGGGGCATTTAAGATACTTGCACCAATGTTTCAACTGCCCTGCAGGGCGAATGAACCGGCAACCTCTGGCATGGAAGTCCAGTGAGCTGACCATCACACCATGGCAGCATCAGTGCGGACGAAGGTGAGTGCAGCTCTACACTGATCGTGATCGAAGCTCAACACTCATGGGAGCTTGGAAATGCTTTTTTATACTTTCGCTAAAATAATTATTTCTCTCCTACGGTCTGTTGATTGCCAAGATACTTTCTGAATAAGGTAGCCATAACAGGTATGAGTTAATTATAGTGATAGGATAATTTATTTTCTATCCCGCGTGGATTGTTCTGCTCTTGGGAGCTTTCGCCAAACAAGGAAAGACGTGCATGCCACAGGCTCTGTTGTTTTCTCCCGAAACTGAGGAGGCAATTGGTGTCTGGTTCCAAAAGTGCAATCATTGTAGGCATATGGTGGCACTGACCATTGACACAGATCTCTGCCCAACTTGAAAAGATTGTTGTCCACCAACCAACGAGGGCCAGAAGGACCTCGTTTGGAAAAGTGGCACTTACATTTTTACTTTTACCCCTGCCCTGAACTCTTATTTCAGAAGGCAGCACCTGCTCACTAACTTCTTAGTCACCACAGCACTTGCACAAACCCGAGTAACTCACTACCCAAAAGTCATAGAGTTTGCTTCCATGAGGTGTTGATTTTGCAAACGTTAAATAAGACAAATTATCACCAGAAACGCCGTTTAAAACAGCTATCGTTGAGGCAGTCTGGTAATGAACATTTAAGAAATCAGTTAAGTGTCCAAGCCGAAAAGACATAGATACGGCTGAAAATGTTTAAGAATACTTGGAGTGGCTGCTTATTGAAGAGAATGAGAGGTTGCATAATGAATTAGCAGAGCATTGGAAAGAAATTAGACGAAAAATCTGGCTCAATAGAGAACTGATTATTGGCAGAAGCAGGCAGAGGAAATGAGATATTCTCACAAAAATGGGACAGAAAAAAAGTATTCTCTATAATAGTTAGCAGCCTTATGGTGTCAGACAAGTTTGAAGAACATTCGGTGTGAACCAGTTATGGGGAAAATCGACATTCAGAGACAAAGGAAGCCCTGGTGGCATGACAGATCTGGTTTATCCAACTATTAAATAGAGAGCAATCACGTGACTCAATGCCATTATGGAGACATCGGGCAGCAGGGGAGGACAGCACTTTGTAAAAGTATGAGAATATCGCAGAGCTGGAGAAATAATAATTTCTAGAGATCATATGGCCGCAACACATCTGAAATATGGTAAGACAGCAGGAGAGGGTGGCATCCCTGTCGATGTTAAAAGAAGGCGCTGTCGACATATGCTGGAGGACATTTGTAAAACGAAGTTATTAAAAGGGAAATTCGTATCATCACATGGCGATGGGGATAAGATGAGGTAGAAATATGAGTATGTTTTGCGCATTCTAAAGTGAGGTGTTTTTTTACTGTATAGTATATGATAAACTACCAGACAAAAGTGAGCTTAATTGAGACCCATCATGGATTTAGAACACCGTGTGGTTGTAGAGGTGGGGATTTTGCTGTCACTTAAATGAATTAAATGTCTTGGAAATATACAGAGTAGGCGTGTCAGAATGAATACATTTGCATATTAAAATACATTTTAACTTTCATTTACAATAATCAATTACAACTTATCCACATTGTATGAAAATAATAACAAATCAGATGAAAAAACGAGATAGCTTACAAATGACATGACGATTGCTTGTGTTGCAATCGAAACGTCGTAGGTTTGTGTTATGTTTTGTAAATTTCTTTGAACCTCTCGACATGACTTTACCGAAAGACCCAAGAATATGAATTACTGCAGTCACGAAAGCTTCAAGTCAAGATTTAACTATTTTATTTAGATAGAAAAAAAAGTTATCGATAGCAATTGGGGGGTCCCTGCTGATTCGCCTCTGAAACTCCACCTAACCAGCCCCCAGGAAAGAGTACAGCCACCATGTGTTTGATTTTACTTCCCATGGATTAACATATCTGGCTCACACTCAGTAGTAGCAGCAGTAAGGCAGAAGAAGAGCGGTGGTTACCGACCGTAATATAGAGGGGTCGGAGGGGTTTGGCAAACATGGATTTTGGAAGAACCCTCCCTTCACCACCATAAGTTCGACTTCATCATCACTACCAGCCATGATCTATCCACTGCTGGCTGAAGGCCTCCAAAATCCCCTGCCGCCATCATCACCTTTCGTGGACTCGCAATGCAACAATCCATCCAGCTGCTTGCATGTGAGCTGATCTTATCGCTCCATCTCCACGGTGGGATTTCTCTCGTGGAGGTTCCCTCCTTATGCTGCCACTCCATCATTAGTCTTGCCCACCGGCCATCGTGCTGTCCAGTCACGTGTCCTGCCCAGTCCCAGTTTGCTTTTCTTGGCAGCCAATTGCAGTGAGAGTGCCAGTAACACGCACCTCCGATTCGCACGGTTGGCTACGTACAGTGCGAAAGAAGTTAAACATATATACATACATAATCGTAGCTCCCACCAGGTTCTAATCCTACCGTGCACTGAACATCATGACATAAATATGGTGATATTTATCTACACCCTGTCTTAAAAGTGCCTCATGGGAGTGCTCAGGAAAGTATCGTGATCGTGTATTGCGATTTATTTTACTCATGAACAACATTTAAATTCACGTCGGATAGCACAGCGAACCTGGCCTATCCATGTACAACTCCTCTTACGAGGAGTATGTGCCTCACCCCAACGTCTGAATATGCGTGTTTTTGCACAGGGATGATTTACAAATGCATGTTACTTTATGTCTCGCAATGTCTCCGTGCCTTATTGCTTACCCGCTGGTAAGACATTTAAATTGTTTTCAGATGCATTCCAACACAAGATTGCTTGCGCCGCCGTGCGTCGTGTGCATAAGCCCTGAAACGGTCCAATACTGGGAGGTCAACGTGCTCCAGTTCACATGGCGAGTAAAGAAATCTTTATTTTTCATCATGTGGGTAATGTGAGCCTTCACCTTCAGGTCAGTGATCAAGTTGCACTGCTGGTAATTTCATGTTGAGGAACACAGCCTCCGTTATTTTTTTATTCTTTCTCCTTCAGTTTACCGCGTGCACGGAGGTGGGCAGAAGCGCCGCTGCTGAAGATGAATCGGTGTCCAGCTGACGTTAAATCCATGTAAGGAAGTTGAGAGCTCTGACATTGGTTTTTCTACATTGCTCTTACCAGGTGTGGCAAATTTCGGTAATTGAAGACTGCACACCAGCCATCGTTTTCACCTTAACTCAATCGTTCGCACCTGGCATGAGCTATGTACAAACCCCGTGTTCCATCGCCTTCCATGTGCTTTTCTGGAGTTTAGAGCCGCCCTCGGAGAGGAAGGAACATGACGAATTCTAACCGATATTAACAATCCCATAGATCCCCCCCCCCCCCCCACAATCGACATGTGTACACTACACTTCGTATAGCTGTACATACACGTTATTTTTGTTTACGTTGTTTGAAACCTCTATCTGATTTTTTAAAAATCTATTTCTTTGCTGGTATTCATTGCTTTGGCATTCTTTTTTGTGTTTTTCAAACACATTTCACCTCAGTCTCCTTCATAACGAATATTATTGTCCTAATGGGTTTTCACCTGCCTTGAAAGGAAAGCTAATATAAATATTTGATGCCAACCGCCTTCAACCTGCTTGCTGGAAGATAAATGTTGCCGTATAAGCATTAGTATAACATTAATTAAATATTTATTCCCCCCCCCCATTTGGAATACAGTGTTGATTAATGATGCTAATTCCAGAAGTGCCCGTTCCACACCAAAGTTTAATTAATGTGGGGAAAGAGAAAAAGAATATCTAAATAGAAGTCATTTATATCCTTAACATCTTCAAAATGTATTAGTCGTAAATGGAAAAGCATAATAATTATGCTAAATGTTCAAGCAATGACATTGAGCACACAATGACGAAACTCAATCAATAGGCCACGTTTCATAGCTCAGAATCAGAGGAGTTTTATATGTTTTGTTTAAACAAAGCTACTTTGATGTGCATCTTCTTGTGGATGTACACTGGCTTGGGACTGAAGAGAAAAAAAGTTGAAAATAAATTCCACGTTTGAGGTATGTATGATTAGCAACACTATAATGTGTAAATAAGGAGGATTTCCATTTAGAGACCACAAAATAGAGAATGCCTGCGTAAAAAGGATAATTACATTGCGCGCAATGCATAGGTCATTAGTCAACATCTCATTGTTAATTAATAAAACGGTTCTGTCAAGAACCCAATGAACTGTATAAACAAATGTTTTTGCTTCAATAATTTATCTGGGAATAATAAACTCTTTTCTCCACTCAATGCCCTTTGTGCCCCCTTGCTTATACATATTCTTCACATGGATTTATAAGAATCCCAGTGATTTTATTATCATCCTTCTTTTGAAATAACACACACCTCAAACTGTTGAATGCCACTGAAGTGAGTTAGAACACAAAATATTTGTTACAAATGATCCCCTGGCATCGCTGAATGTTTACGGTGCGTGGATCGACATTGAATACCTATTATTCGAATAATTATTTTTCACTATCAGCCATCAATGTCTTTTGTTCACAATCAACCAGTGTGAAGATGTGTTCTGCTCGTAAGAAAGACGCAATTCTTCACTTGAAATAGGTGCGCTATGTTACAATATAAAACATATTAATGCATTTAAAATGATAATCCCAACGAACCAGGCTCTCACAAACAGCACAGTGCTTACATTTCCTTGAATGGAAAAAAGCAAAGACATTCATATGTAATTCAAGTAGCAGTACTACCATTAATTATAGTTAATTGCAGCGTCATTGAAATGTGTTAATCACGTTATTAAATTACATGACATGTATCAAAAGCATCTATATCTGCAGTATCCACGAAAATGGTCCTGTAAAAAGGTCAATAAAAAGTTGACCAACAAAGATGGAGGAGAAACGCATTCATTGGTATTCGTGTTGTGAAACATTACGTGATAATCTATCGAACTCGTCATCAATTCATATGTAAAAATAGGAAGAACATTGTGTTTTCGGGTCGTGGGATTTAATGAGCAATATTACTATTTGGGGATATTATGACATATTTCACACGGGCAGAATTTCCATAAAGTAAATAGGCACATTTATTAAGGCACACAATTGTATTGCATTTACTGAGCGAATATGGGTGCCAGCTGCTACAGTGAATGTTTTTCTTTTCCTTCGGCAACTGAAATACAAGAAATTGCGCGATTCATTTTGTTTCACGTTGCAGCAGCTGGAAAATCTTATACGTATGCGTTCAGGCATAACGAACTAATACACACTGGGTTCTCACTGCAAGTGTATAAATGTATATTTATTTAAGCAAACGTTAAGCTGTACATTACGGGACACAACGTGTACAGGAGTACGTTCCGGTCCTTTTCATGCACAGTTAAGCTCCCAAGTGGCCCACAATTTTGCACCTACGAGAAAGCGCCAGTGCGATTTCCACAGTGGAAATCCCACTCACAGGCTGCCCTTTTGCTTCCAACAGACTCCCCCACGACCTTGACAATGAAGTGGGAGAAAGGAGGTATCTGTAAGGCAGGCAGACTGGCTGATCTCACCTCCCACGTGTTGTGTCCCCGTGCAATTGGCACGAGAACTGACACCCGTTCCCTTCGCCCGCAACACCCCAGCCCACCCAACTCCCTACACCATCCCACAACACCCTACACCGTCATCTCGGCCAGAGAGCGAAGCTCGGAGAGCCCTGGGTAGCAGGGTATCTTGGCAAAGGGTTGTTGCCTGAGCGCCAAGGGTGGGAGAGTGGTGGAGGGAGAACAATTAATAAATATTACAATGAACCTTCTAAAAAAATAATGTAAACATTAAAACAAATCGAATTAATTTGTGTTACATTGAAACGGAGGTTTTAAGTTTTCCCCACCGAGGCCGCAAATACATCGCCAATATCGATGCTATTTGCAAGTTCGAAAGATGTATGGTTGCTCTGTGATGTCCTTGCGACCTCATATCACTGATATGATAAATATACCATTTACAGAGCCACTTTTGCCCATACTCAACTTCAAACAACAACCACCATTCGCCACAAAGCGGCGGTGACATCACCACGGCGCTTGTGCCAGGCTAGGTGCACTTTAAGGCCACTGGCAGGAGGTTACGGGACAGACCCAGGTGCCATGGGTTGACTGACTGAGATGACTGGCAGATGCACCACCTGTGCCCCCTACTGTGCTGTGTTTTAACCGGCCGGTGCTCCGCTCGTTGTTGTGAGCATCGCTCCTCTGCCCTCCGTTGTTGCTGGAAGGCGACTCCCTCAAAAGGGCCCTCTATCTGCAACGATGAAGTCCAGTTCGCTACCCTGTGTTATTATTAATTGCCACAATTAAAATAAATTGTACGCAGAAAATCCCTGGGCAGCTCTGCGGAGGTCACCGCATTGACATTGAATGGACATTGCCTCGGTTTTGCAAGTCATGGTAAAGAATAAGGTAATGAAATTATGCTCAACGGATCAACAGAGCTACAATAGCATATTGTTTTCGCAACAGTATCCTGATCCATCTTCTTGGTTCTTTCGGTAAAGTCACGTAGAAGGGAAGTAATAAAATAATAAAAATAAAACATAATAAAATAATTATTATAAAATAATTATTATTTTATAAAATAATTATTATAAAATAATTATTATTTTATTACTTCCCTTCTACGTGACTTTACCGAAAGAACCAAGAAGATGAATCCCTGCAGTCACGAAAGCTTTAAATCGAAATTTATCCTGATCCAGTTGGGTTTTGGCTAGAGGCCTTGTTCTTAACTCAAACTTTGGTTAAAAATGGCAGACACAATTGCTTTATATGTATTATGTTCAGAGAAATTAGTGGAATATTTAGGACTAATATGCACACCCATGCCAATATTTAAATTAACATCCAAGCTGCACACATGCTGCTCACATGAAACTGCAGCATGATTGATCTATTGCACCGCATTAGAACAGCACTCTATTAATACAGTTCCTGCGGGGAAGCATGCCTTACCATAACAATGCTTCATTGGTCTAAAAAAACTAAACCATACGTTTCAGTTGTCTTTTCACACATTCCTTAACATGAAAAAGCAACACCTGAACGCCACATGGTCTATTTTTCTTGCCAAATGCTTAACAACAACCAGTTTTTTTGGTTTAAATTTCAATAACAAATCAGCGCAACGTGGTCTGGTTTCTCAGGGGTCAGGGCTCTTATCTTGCACCGCTGAAATGCTGGATTCAAATCGAGGTGTTCGCTGCCCATGATTAAACTGGGGTTTCAATTTAATTATGGAAGGTCTGAGCCCAGTCACAAATAACTCATCAATGACTGCACGAGGGGGAAAAAACCCCATCGAATTAAATTTGGTTTTCACTTGAATTGTCTAAATCCCAGCTCTAAGTAAAACAATACTGCTTTGATGACCAAGGGATTAACCATTTGACTGCTATGCAATGAATATTTTTCACTGCAGTAGGGCACGTGGGAAAGTGTGCCCCAAGTTTGTGGATTTTAAAACGGGATCTTAGAAGTAGTTATCCGATACCTTCTTCCGTGGGACGTTCTCGAGAGTTACAAATGGACGCTTTGTATCGTACATGATGCCGTTATGAAATGTGGTAAAACATCGGCATTAAATATATGTACCTGAATTACAATCCAGTGCCAAATCAATTATTTAAAACAAAATTTGTTTTATTGCGTACACGTGGAAAAGGTGTGGAGTGTGAAGGTTGCCCAATGGTCAGAGAATAAACAGTTCTGCCTTCAACACTTTAACAAAACGCAGTATTGGGCAATGCTCATAAATAATATGTACATTAAAATCGTGAACAAAGATGCATTCAATTTGCAGCCTTTTGCCTTGGGTCTCATTCCTTCATGACTGTATAACCATTCCAAAATGCTCAACAGAGCAATACATATTCAAGCTGCATGAAAAAAAAATCAGTGTTACATAAACATCACGTATTTACATTATCACTGCTGCATTACGTATACATATATAACTCCCCAACCTATTTTTTCCACTAGCAAGCTTGTGTCAGCCGACCAATATTCTAAAGTATCAAATGTACATGCATATGATATGAGAAATATTATGAATATTGTCATAAAAGTGTATACAAAAACATATACTCAATGCTAACTCTCATCAAACTCAAGTACTTTCTCCAGCCGAGGCGGCATTTCAACAGCCAGGAATAATCAGAGCAGACCGGATACAACAGATTATTATTGAATGGCTGTAATGCTTATGCATTGCTTACATTTCATATTGGATGTCTCAGTCATTTCATAGAGTATACATATATTACGGTATATCTATACGCTTTTGGGGGGGGGGGGGGTTCCAGCTATCTACACTTCCACTTAAAGTACAGAACAAAAACTGGTGATAATTAATGGTTAAAGTAATAGGTTAAAGGTGCAGCTCTGAAATGTCCTTTGGTCAAGTCACTGCTGGCGGAAGGGCCTCCACTATAGGAGCTCTAAAGAGACCGTCTGGAAAGCCCTTCTGCAGGGTATGCTCGGCCCACTCTTCTACATTGGCCAGAATGTCTTCGAAATAACAATCAAAATATGTATTTATACTGGAGGAATCTGATGAGCTATAAAGCTCTTTTTTACAGATGTCAAGTAGGGGCGGGTCAGAACCGTTACAACAAAAATACAAAAAGACGATAGGAGTGCAAATTATAGGAAAGAAAAGCAAATCACTCGCATAAATAAATACATTTAACTAAACTCGTTTATTTCGCCAGGTAAGACCCAGCGAGCTATTAGCTTCTTTTTCCAAAGCGACCTGGCCATAAATGATAGCTCAACGAAGTGGCTTATTATGTGGAAATGTATATCAGCCAAATAATTTCAATAATCTAAAGACATGCGACCTGGCGAATGACTAACTGGTACACCAATTTTGTACTGCTGGGTGAACAGAGGTGGAGGGATTTCAGAAACCTCTCTCCATTGTTTCAACTGCCCCACTGTGGGATCGAATCGGCGACCTCTGGATTAAATGTCCAGTGAGCTAACTATTACACCACGGCATCATTCCAATCGTTGGGTAATAGTCGATAAAGTGTCTCTGATGTTGGTGCTCATTTCCAATGGTGGTGGCTTTATTTTGCCATGGTAATATAGATGTTTACTTGATTCATTGATTGTATATACAGTACGTGAAAGTTATGACAAAATTAACTGCAATCACAACAGACTTTACCGAAAAAACCAAAGAGTATGGACCCTTGCAGTCACGAACACTTCAAATTTAGAATTAACACAAAATGTGTATTTGATGGTGAAGTGGGAAGACATTTACAGTAAATGTAGTACAGGTAACAGTTTCCAATAACTGAGACTTTTACTTGTCTAGCTATATCAAAGAACACAACAGAAAATGTACTGTATTCCAGAAGTACGTGAGATTATCTTACGTGTGAAAATATGCAGGATTTCTTGCGAAATTAACATACCGAGTGTGGGCTCTCATATGACTTGATGGGTAGCAGAGAAGAGGTGTGACATCATCTTGGTGTGTGAAGTTTGTTCTTGCAGATCAGCCAGCCAGCCTCCTAAAAACAAAGACAAAGATCCCCTGTTTAGCCTTAATTGACTGTTGGGGCAAGTTCTGTTAGCCCGGCACCGCACACGTGGGGGTGGGACGCCAGCACCATGCCGGGCTGCCGCTGTCTCCCGAGTAGCGATGTTCACACACTGCACCAGGTACTCATTTGGGGCTGAGTCGACCTAGGGGAGGCCCAGGACCAGTTCAATTAATCTTCACTGGTGGTGGCCGTGAGCGGGAATCAAACCCGGGTGGTCGGGTTCATAGTGCAGCACACTAACCACGACACGACTAAAAACATTCCTGCGGAGGGAGCTGGTAGGAACGTTGGGTTGCTAGGTCAATGGCCAGGGTCAACGGCGGCGTGGTTTATTCCGCAAATATGCCAGACTGTGAGTGCGGGCACAAGCCCGCGTGAGTAGGTTAAACGTTGAGTTTTATAAGGGCACCACAGGGGTTGACCCCAGCCCCACCCCTCCCACCCCCCACCCAGCCCCACCTTCCCCACCCAGCCCCTCCCCACCCTCCCCTCCCCACCCAGCCGCACCCTCCCCACCCAGCCCCTCCCCACCCTCCCTTCCCCACCCAGCCCCTCCCTCCCCACCCAGCCCCTCCCTGCACGATGGACACAATAATCCCCTGTGGGCTGGTGTAACCAGTAGGTTCCTACTAGTAAAACACATGCATACATACACCCAAATATGCTGTCATCATCAGCCATGATCAAGCTACTGTTGGATGGAGACCTCCCCAAGTCATCGCTATCTCTTGACGCTCCGGTGATGAAAAAATCAATCGAGCACCTGCGCACGACTGTGACAAATATGCTCTATGTGCAGATTATTAGTATATATGCACATATCTTAGAATGATTTGCCTAATACATATTCAATACATTGGATGATCATTCACAGCTAATATTCAAGGTTTACAAAAAATTACTTTACACATTGTAAAATAGAAACAGCAACATTATTTAAGTTCAATAACATTTATTTCACAAATGTCAAATACGAACAATATAATATCTGCTTTTGAAGGAAATGTTTGGTAATTTTAAATGGAAGGGACAGATGTTTTAGATTTAGATTTTTTTAACTTTTGGGTATTTTTAAATAATTATACTTTATTGTAATGACGGCAAACACTGGCTTACTTGTATGAGTAATATAAGATGACTTTTAACACCTCTGTACCTTACAGCAGATGGAAAAAAACCTTTTTACACCTCTAACTATTACTGCAGGATTTAAACCGATGACTCTGCGCTGCAATGGCTTTGCGGCTTGTGCTCTCACCACTTGACTGCCCAGCTACTCAATATCAATTTTTGCTCGCAAAGAAACCTGCAAAATGTGTGGCTCGGCCACACGACTTGATCGCAAACATCACTAGCCAAATACATCAAGAGAAATGTCACAGCTGTTCCATTTGCCTGCCTCCTCCATTCCTTCACACCCTTCTGTAAAGGTGAAGGTCTGTGCGATATTGCGCTACCTAACTGGAGTGCTATGGTACCACTTCATCAGTGCGTTGGTGAACTATGGCTCTGTAATGATTATCATTCCAGTTTTTTTTTTATTGTTTTCAATTATTTGGAAAAACGGTTACACCAACTGTTAGTCATATTTTCTTTCCGGACATCGAGGCGCACTTTGATGTAAGTTTTATACGCTCAACACATTTAATGGTGTCAACTTCTTTCACGGTTCTCGAAATGGAATGCGTCTCTGAAATTCATATCCAACCGCTCATCCCCACATAAGCTAACAAAAAAATATTTAAGTGGAGTGTGGCCAATCAAATTAATGTGGCAAATTCCACGCACAGTCAGACTTGGACGAACTTCAGCATTTGAACATGGACCGGCGTGTGGTCTTTACAGAAAACCAACATTCGAGAAATCAAAGTATCGCTGCAGTCCTGGAGCTTTCCATGAGCACCCTTCCAAAACTTTCCCATCAGGCTTCGAACAATCGGTTATGGCTCATATCACGGCGACTGGAAGGATTCCAGCTGTGTTCTCAGCTTATATGCTGTCGGCATACAGAGTGCACAATGATGCAATGGACAAGAACTCGGCTTTGCATTTACATAGGGTGTAGCACAATATTCAGCCAATGAGTATTAATCTACCACAGACCTAATCAAATCTTCCTTGAGTTAAAGACCACGAATTTATCCTACATACTTGGGCAATGGAATAACACATTCCGTCCGAAACAGCTGTGCAGTTGCGCTGCACTGCCGATAATTGTTGCAACACTTTCTTCATGTTTAGCGTTTACAATCCACACAGATCACCGTCATATTTTCCCCTGGGCCGAAGCCAGCATGGTCGTATTTCTCTGAGCCAAGCAATCTGGATGAACTGCTCGAATATCCCCTGGAGGATGAGGCTTTTGTGAAGCTTTGAAACGGGCTGATCCAAGGCATGCCTGCAGGGGCCACAGGCTCTCTTCAGGCAAATAAAATCCAAAACAAACAATATCATCACCATGGCAGGCCTTCGAAAAATGCATCGCCCATTCTAAATAACTACGCAGTTTTTGAGATTTGTGAAGTGGGATATGATTTGTTAAAGTCGCATTGTATTGTTTTGATGCAATGAGAACATTGTGCTATTTTGGTGTCTGAAATCTTACTTGGTATCTTCTAAGGTGTCTTGTTTGTTTTGTGCACAGGTGCTAATACAGCGGGTAGAATAGCCGTGGAACCATCAAAGTCTCTTGGGTGGCAATTACAGCAGAGAAATCTACTTACGAAAAGATCGTTCTGTCCCTATAACATCTGGCAGGCAGCAGTTTAAATTGTGTTAAATTTTGCATTGCACAAACAGGCTGTACAAATAATTAGCAATTTAACCTCTTCGTGTGGCTGATAATCATAATATACGTTTAAAATATCACAGATGCAAATGTGGGAATGTGGCTTCGTATGTTTATTCACACTGGACATGTGAAATAGGGTAAACGAAAAGATAGAGACACCGGCTGTAGCGTTGCATTGTGTAAATGCAGGGTGTATACATTGCAGGTGGGAAAATATGCCATTATCACAATTTTGGAAAATCCATTTCTTCCATGAAAATCAAGAAACACCAAAATGCTTTTCATACAGATATCTATAAGACATACACAAGGACACTTGCAGCTGTTAGCTGTTAGCTGCCTTGAACTTTCAATCTACTTTGAACATTGAATGCATCTGAGATTATATTTTGCCTTCGACTTACCAGAGTCGAGAATGTTTCAGTCCCATTGGTGCGAGCGCAAGGCAGTGCTAGGTGCTAGCCTAAGCAGAAAAAAGCTTCTGATGTGGACGTTACCACAACATTACAACTGCTTCGTATTAAATAAAATCATTGTTTACTCAGAAATATGTCGTGATCTAGCTTTTTTTTTACAAAGCATCTCATTTGATTCATTAATCTCACGACAGCTTTATAGCTTACAAAGGCACAAGTCTAGGACAGATGTGGACTCCAACAATGTGTTTTTAAAAGACATTTAGTAGGGGGGGATGCATTCGTCCAGCTGCTGGTGTAAACAATACACAAACAAATAAATGTTTCCCAAATGAGTGATGTAAAATATAAGAACACCAATTTGCATAAAGACGTGAGCTTGACATTTTCCAAAGTGCCACCAAAAAGCCTACGCTCATCCCAGAAATATGTGACCATCCATTGGTTTTATAAATGCCTCAATGCAATTTTAAATTTTGAAAGGGCTGACTTCTGCAAAGAGTCCATTCATACATGTTAAAATGATTTTATTTTTCTAGCAATCGAGAGATTTAATAACGACAACCCTCAAAGACTTTAATCTATCTAAAAGCATCGACGGGACAGTTCTGTTCTGAACTTGACACTTTTTGGAAAGCGTAGCTATACTTTGTGATGTAAAACAGTTCAGACAACCTAATGGAAAGTTATTCTTAGCCAAAAAATAAAGATAATTGTCAGCACATGCACTGGGGTAAACAATTCCAATACCTGCAATTTTTTTCCCCTTCCTTTGTGGCTACACTTATGTCTGTTTGCAATTTAGATGAATTTTAGGATTGAGCAAGCACCAAAATATTTGTTTGGTGAATACAGCTGTTATGGCCGATCGCGCCTTGACGTGACTACAAGCATTATACCCTATTTAGGTGTTTTTATTTTTCTGCCACGACCTCACCGGATGGCCAGCGCAGCTGCTGCTGCTGACATGAAAGGACTTTTAACGGCACCTTTCAAGCTAATGCAAAAAAGGTTAAAGCAATTTATTATTATTTTTCTAAACGGATTCGGCTGTTTGGCGTGTTGCACCAATGCTCACGACACTCGCAATCTCGCCATCAGAAATCCAGCGTGAGCTTTGTGCCAAGTTGCACCACGGCGCTGCTCCATACAAGGTCAGCGCGGCTCAGGGCCCCAGCGTTCCTAGCCTTGGCTTGGCAACAGTGCTCAAAGAAATGTTTTCCAGACATTTGAAAAGGGCTGAAAAAACATGAAATCACTCCCGTGCAGCCTTTAACTCCCCTCTTCTCTCCCTGTTGCCCACCCCCACCACAGGCCTCTCCTTTCCACTGCAGCAGAATACCCAACCAACGTCACTCCTTCCTCGTCTCTTTTTTTACGCGTCTTTTTTCATCTCCGTGCTGTTTGCTAGGCAAACGCAGAATAGAGTTTAACAAAAGTGTCTTGGCCCTGTCAGTCCATGTGGACTGGCTGCACAATCCCTATTTTGCAACATGACAAGAAGGGACTTGACAGCAGGTGGAATAATGTCCAAAGTTCTGGGCACCATGGTGGCAAGATCTTAAATACCCCACCTCGTATACAGGAGGTCGTGGGTTCGATCCCAACCCTGACGCCTGCTGTATATTTGGAGTTTGCACGTTGTCCCCGTAGTCACGTAGATTTTTTTTCCAGGTCCTCCGGTTTTTCCCTCCACATTTAGAAAAATGCTTTAAGAGTATTTGACTGCAATACATTTCCACATGATAAGCCACTTCGTT